AGAGATGTACATTCTCCCTTTAAACATCCCATGGGGAATATGCCTAAAAGACACAGAGGTTTCATTAACTTTTCTGTGGTGTCTCCTCCATGGTGTGGAATCCCTCTTTTTGAGAGGCCCCAGAGCCAGCAGGGAAAATCTCTGTATCTTGACTCCATTGGAGCTGCATTGTAAGGGAGCCAGAGATGTAGAGGTGAAAGGCCTATTGAGGGTATTGGAACCAATCTAGAGCTGTAAAGCCTTCATTCAGTTAGCCCTGTTCTCTGGGAGATCCTCTCTCTCACTCTCTTGAGAGAGAATATAACAGTAAAACATATATATAAAGCCCATATTGTATGAGGGAAAGGACAGTCTTATGGCCAAAAAGCTGAGGACTAAGCATTGGGAGAACTTGGTTCTTTTCCCAGGTCAGCCACAGACTTGCTCTCTGACCTTGCACAAGTCTGTGTGCCTCAATTTCCCCATTTCTTATGTCACAGGAATGAGATTTATTTTGTTAATATTTTTAAAGGGCTTTGAAATCCTTAGATGAAAGTTGGGGGGGAGGGATAGCTCAGTGGATTGAGCATTGGCCTGCTAAACCCAGGGTTGTGAGTTCAATCCTTGAGGGGGCCACTTAGGGATCTGGGGCAAAATCAGTACTTGGTCCTGCTAGTGAAGGCAGGGGGCTGAACTCAATGACCTTTCGAGGTCCCTTCCAGTTCTAGAAGATAGGATATCTCCATTAATTTTTATTTAAAGTACATTAAAACCCCCCTCTGCTTTGCATTTAAGATGTAATGTGCTGTACAAACATTAATTAACTAATCATTGTAACACTTTTGTGCAGCAGGGGTATATGATTATCCCCATTTAACACAGGTGGAATCCTGGCTGCATTGAAATCAATGGCAAAATTCTCATTGACTTTAATAGAGGCAGGATTTTACCCTACATATCTTGCCCAGTATCACACAGCAAGAGTGAGGTACAACTGGGATTGGTACCCACCAGTTGCTAGCTCTTTGCTCTGTATGCAGACATCTGTAGATCACATTGCCGACTTTAAAAAGAGCCTTACATTAGGTTTATCAGCTAGCAGCCTTAACTCCCAGCCAATAAATGCAGACTGCAGCCCTGTCTCCTCCAATAGTCTCTATCCTGGACAGGCAAACTGGAGGGAAGTAAGTGGGAAAACGATGGTGAGGTGAAAACCTTAACACAACCTGACACTTCTTCATCCTGTAATTGTGTTGGTTCCTGCCACGTTGTTTTAGAAAAATTCTCAAGACACTTGTTTCCTGTCCCTTCTAAAAACAGATTGATGAGGCAGTTACATTCTTCTTTAATGGAATCTTAGCTAAAAGCACATTTTAGAGGACCAGTAACCAGTAAAATAGATGAATATGGATTCTTACATCCACTTTTTACACTCAGACACTGTTTCCTGCGAATGACCCCAAGGCAGGAAGTCCTTTTTTTTTTTTTAAACATTATTTGTAGACAGAGTCAAAAAAGCTACAACCCTCTTTGTGAGAAGAGCAGACAGCCTGAGTCCCCTACAAGAGAGATTTCTGACTGCAGTAAGTTGCCCTTTCTGCATGTTCACACACTCACACAAATGGCCTCTGTTTTGTTTCTCTGATACTAGGCACTAGGTTTAACTCCCAGGCTGTCTCCAGAGCCATTATTTCACCTCCACAAATCAGCATGGATTCTATTAACCCATTAAGGCCACACATGGGGAGCCCGGACTACTGCTGAACCTATTGCAACTGATTTTGTGTAATAAAAAGAAAGTAACAATCTGTATGAATTAAGCAAGGCACATGATACAACTGAAAAATAGGCAAGAAAGAAAAGAAAATACTGGTCCTAAACAGTTTTAAAATGGCATGAAACACTTTGAAAATACAGTTTCAGGCTATTTATACTTTTTGTACATTGTTCAGTTATAAAATGTACTGCTGTTTATTTTTTTATATGGTGCCAAACACATGCCAATTGCTTTACAAACACAGATCCCAGTCCTGCAATCAGATCTGCCTGTGTGCATCCAATTGCAGGGTTGGGATCATAAGTTTGGCCTCTATCTGACACTTTACAAATACTGAGGGTCAGATCTATGATGGGTTAGATCACAGAACTCCCCTTGGGAGCTGCCACTTGATGTGCCAAGACTACCTCTGCTCCTGCTTTCCCTGCCAGCTCGGGACCCCAGCACCCTGTCTTGCTGAGCCAGACAAGCCAGTCTGCTCCAACACAGACCCAGGGTCTGAATTACTTGCCCCAAAGCTGCAGACTTAACTGAAAGCAGCTTACAGAAGTGTTCTTATCTATAACACTCAGACGCCCAACTCCCAATGGGTCTAAACCTAAATAAATCCATTTTACCCTGTATAAAGCTTATATAGGGTAAACTCATAAATTGTTCACCCTCTATAACACTGATAGAGAGATATGCACAGCTGTTTGCTCCCCCTCCCCAGGTATTAATACATACTCTGGGTTGATTAATAAGTAAAAAGTGATTTTATTAAATACAGAAGGTAGCATTTAAGAGGTTCCAAGTAGTAACAGACAGAACAAAGTGAATTACTAAGTAAAATAAAATAGAACACTCAAGTCTATGTCTAAGAAACTTAATACAAATAACACCTCACCAGTTCCAGTAAACTTCCTTTTACAGACTAGTCTCCTGCTACTCTGGGTCCAGCAATCACTCACACCCCCTGTAGGTATTGTCCTTTGTTCCAGTTTCTTTCAGGTATCTTTGGGGGTGGAGAGGTTCTCTCTTTAGCCAGCCGAAGGCAAAATGGAGGAGTCTCCCAGGGGCTTAAATAGACTTTCTCTTGTGGGTGGCGACCCCCTCCTCTCTCCTATGCAAAGTCCAGCTCCAAGATGGAGTTCTGGAGTCACCTGGGCAAGTCACATGTCCATGCATGACACTCAGTTTTTACAGGCAGAAGCCATTGCCCACATGGTATCTTGAATGTCTCCAGGAAGACTTCTTATGTGGATTGGAGCATTCCAAGATGCATTGTTCCTTAAGTGCTTCCTGATTGGGCACTTAACTTTGCGAATTCCTTTCTCCAGGAACTGACCAAATGCTTTACTAAGGTTATTTAGAAATCAAGCCAGTACACGGCCAATATTCATAACTTTGAGTACAAAAATGATACGTGCATACAAATAAGATTAATAGATTCAGTAGGTCATAACCTTTACAGAGACATGTTACATGGCATATGTAGCACAGAACATATTCCAGTTATGTCATATATATTCATAAGCATATTTCCATAAAGCCTTATGGGGGGCACCATCACAAGATCCTCAGCTAATGTAAACTGCTGTAGTTCCATAAACGTCAGTTGAACTGAGCCATTTTACAGCGCTAAAGATCCAACACATAAATGTATAGGGTTTTGTTAATTGTCCTCTTTTGATTGGGAGAGACGCGTAACAGTGCCAATTCCTTGATCATAAGGAAATCTATTAGCAATGTGACTCCTCAACTGTCACAGGTTGTTTGTTCCTTATCCTCTCCCCAGAGGGAGAAGTGTGTGAAGTGGAATGTCTTGTTTTGGAGGTGTGTGTCTTTTTTTAAAAATAACATACCTGTTGCTAAGTACCTCTCTCTCTCTCTCTCTCTCTCTCTCTCTCTCTCTCTCTCTCTCTCTTTGGTGTGTGTACGAGTGAGAGACAGAGAGGAAAAGAGAAATCACATAAGCATTAGAATGACGCTGTAGCCTTGTGGTTAGAGCACTCACCTGGGACATAGGAGACTGGGATCCAATCCCCCTGCTCCAGTGACTTTAATGATTTATCCAGAGTGCAAGTACAAGCTTCAGCAGGAGAGACTGAGGGGAGCCCCACATCAGACTATCCTATAGCCCAATGATTAGAGCACTCACTTGAGAGGTGGGAGAACCCTGTTCAAACCCCTCCTCCTGCTCAGGAGGAGGGGGGACTTGAACTGGGAGTCTCCCACATCCCAGGTGAGTACCTAGATACTGAGCTAAAAGTTACAAGGGAGTTCCTGCTTTCTTCCTGCACCTGGCCATTTTATGTGAACTTGCTTGAGGGGCTTGATCCAATCACGCCTACTGAATTGAGTCCCGCATGTAACTTAGGCAGAGGAATGCTAATCTTCCCCTGGTTTGTGAACTGCTCTGGGTGTCGTGTCCAGCAGCCTAGAGTGAAGGAGACGTGTGTGTGCTCAGAGGCAGAAACATAGGTGCCAAGTGAGTTGAGGAACCTGCAGGGTTCAGTGTTTGACATATTCCTTTACTTCCCACCTCCATAAATAGGTGCTACTCACACACTGCAGGGAGAATGCTACCCACTAAAAGGATGAGCATAAAGGAGGAGTGAGCCTCATAACAAATATATAGCTTGATTTTCCATTTCCTGAATGGAGCCTTGCACCAACTTTGAAATGGATTCTGGCAGCAAAATAAAAATTGATAATATTTAATCCTTTGTCAAATAGATACAGAGATGTGAATTTCTTCATATGAAGCCACTTGAGCATTTTGGGAGCTATCAGATGAACATTATCCTCCCTATGGAATGAGTGGCTAGTGTGAGGTAGATAATCTGGGGAAAATCAATGTAGAATCTCCATTCCTGCAAGTGAAAATGAAATTCATCTGTACCTGCTATGTTTCCCATGTTCAAAGAGCCAATGTTCCATTTTAGATTAAAGAAAACTACTTAACAAAAAAGGACGAAGTCTCCAAGAAGGAGAAAGTAGGGTGTGTCTGATTCTGTAAGAACTTCCAGTTCAAATTCTTTCACAGCCCTGCTCCCCAGCAGGCACAGACTTTATACACTTTGAGGTGCAAATACAGAAAACTGAATCAGAGCTGTATATTCTGTAGGGAAAACCTGTTATTTTCTCCACATATGAAATATTTGACTCCATTTTGCAAAGTCTGTTTGAGTAGCCTCTTTAAAATTAAGTGGCCAATACACCATGCTGCAACAAGGGTAAATGTATTGTGTATATCCTGCAGGATGAGTTATCTCACCCAGAGCACCCTACAGAACCAGCTGCTGCAGAAGAAGAGACCCCAGCAGAAGCCATAAAAGCCATTGGAGAGGTAAAGTCCAGACTCAAACCAGCTAACCCTAGAATCCTTAGCTGGTCCAGGGTTTTTCTCATGATCTATCATATGTATATTTTATGTACCTTTTTGTTCTCATGAAAATGAAAGACTAACGTAGTCTTTAGCTAAGCATAGGTAAGCAAGTGATGTGCAAGCCTCCTTAAAAAGGTCTCCTAATGCACCTTTAACCTTACCTGCACCACCGTAGGAGTTCTATTTATGGATCTTCCCCACACCCACCATTTTATCAGTGCACCTCAATGCTGCTGCACAAAGGACCTATGCTCTAGTCCTGGGTCTCTCTGACTCAATGCTGCAGGATTCAGTGGTTTTATGACAAACTTAAATGGAGATTAGGCTAAGAATCACCAAACTAAATTTTACTAGGAACTTGAGCTAGAATAGGAATGTGTATGATTCTCAAAGGGGAAAGGATAACTCACTAACCTTCTGTATCACCTATAGTCCCTATTTTCTTATGGCCTATTTTTAATGTGAGGATCAACCTTGGTAATCTATGTTTTCCTGTTATATACATTCTGTTTGAAATATTACTCCATTTTCTTGTCTTGCTTCTCTTGCAGCGTGAAATTGAAGCCATTTAATCAATTTCAGGACTACTAGTGTGAACGTGAGAATTCCAGGAGTACACACTGAAATGTTAGTAGACACCATAGTAGGGAAATCATCCTTCCCATAGGCTAACTACTTTCAGCGCTATAGCCTTTCACATGCCTCGCTAACGTATCATACAATATATGTATGTCAGACTCTTGATTCTATGTATATGGAAACTGTTCACTACCGTCTGTCTCTCTCTAAGCATCTCTATCTCCTTTGTGGCTTTTTACCTACCCATCTTTGAGTGTTCTGACTGTCTGGTTTGTTAGCAAATGACATATTGTGGTTAAAATCACTGGTCAATGTCTTATCTCTATTTGCATCAGCACTTGGAATCCCTAGGTATGATGAAAATGATTTTTTTTTAAACTACAAAATAAAAGTGTTTGAACTACTTTTTTCTTTGTCTTGTCAGTCCCTTTTATATGTAAAAGTTCTTTTAAGCATTAATGGTCTTGAGCTGAGTTTCAAAGCTGAAAACATTTCCAGAAGTGTGCACTTGGTGCTCTAAGAATTAACTGTCAAAAAGAGAAATAATCCGGTACTCTGCTCCACATGTCACCAATGAAATGAGGGGGGAGGGTCTGAAATCCTTAGAGATACCCCTGACGTGGGCTAGGGTGACCAGACAGCAAGTGTGAAAAATTGGGACGGGGGTGGGGGGTAATAGGAGCCTCTATAAGAAAAAGCCCCAAATATTGGGACTGCCCCTATAAAATCGGAACATCTGGTCACCCTGACGTGGGCAAAGGTGCGAGGACTGAAATCATTAAGGGGAAAATCCCTTCAAACGGGAAAGGAGAAGAGCACTTGAAATCCTCAGCAGGAATCACATCTTGAAATGTGGATCAGTGTGGTCTGAAATGTTCAGGGACAAATTCTTCCGGGAATGGAGGATGAGGAGTGTTGAAAATTTCAGAGGTGTTTCCTTCCAGAATAATACATAAATAATTAATAATAATACCTGTCTTTTAGCTACAGCTTTTCATCTGTAGATCTCAAAGCACTTTACAAAGGTGATCAGTAACATAGGGTCTGAAATCCTCAGAGAGGGTAAATGTTTCTGAAACTCACTCTGATAACCACAAAATATAACATTAAAATAACTACAGATAAGCACAGCACATGGATGCAGTAGGCATTCTTTTATAGGTATAATACCTCCATGCAGCCAGTCAAATAATATTTGGATACTTGCTTTCTACTGGAATGATGCTGGAATAGATGCTAACTCTGGAAATGTGAGCTATTTACTCCACATAGCCTACAGGCTCTTTTTGAGCTGTTACTAATTAACAGTACAGCTCTGCATTTGTCCTATTTTTTTAACCAATAACGGAGTCTTTGGAGTCATTCTGGTCTAGCCCTTCTTTGTGGCTGAACTATGGTTGCCATCTATCACCACCCTCACTAGTCACAAAGACTGTAATGGCCTAATATTACACCAGAGCAATTGCTACATTAATGAAGAATGGCTCAACCTCTTCCTTATGGGTAATGATGCAGATAGGTGGGGATTTTCCCTTGTGAATATACCCTCGCTACAGCTCAATGTAAGACCAACTGGAGGAGAGAGGGTTCAGACAGAAATAGCAAAAAGCATGTTGGGCCTATTTCTGTATTCAAGCCCTTTGTTATTTATTCCACCACCAACATAACCTGAAAATTTTAGCTTGATCTAATAGGTTTGTCTGTATATAATGGACAGATAGAATAAAATTAAGTAACTGATATCCACCAACCCACTGGATTAAAAACTGCTCTGCTGTTGTCATAAACAGGCAGGATTATTGTAAACTGAGTCATCCTGATGTCAGAGGCGCATCATAACCACATTAAGGAGAACTACTAGCATAATGAGAACACATAGGCAAGTATGTGTTACAACTGAAAATCAGTCATTGGATAGCAAATGCTCTCAAAGGTGCTGATGACACAATGGAAGAGGAAATCCTTTGGCCTGGATTTAAATTATTCCAACTGAAAGTGAATGAGAGAAAATTGGTCCAGAGTTATCTTCCTAGCAGCAGAAAATGTATAGATTGATAGATGTTAAGGTCAGAAAGGACCATTATGTGCATCTAATCGCACCTCCTGTATAACTCAGGCCCTAGAATGTCACCAAGTGGTTCCTTCAGCCAGCCATACCATGTGACTGAGCCAGAGCATGTCTTTTGGAACAACATCCACATGTATTAGAGCCAGCTGGCTAACAGAAAATCTTTCTTCTGCAGTGATGTGGGGCTAAGGGACATGGAGGAAAAGACATGGAGGCTGTGACTAAAGTTAGAGCAGTGAGGCCAGGATAGCCGGGGCTAGGTCCCAGGACTGGCTATCGGAAGACCTGCCATTTTCTATTCCTGGCTTTGGGACCATGAGCAAATCTCTTCACCGCTGGGTGCCTGCCTTGGTTTCCTCAACTATAGTTAATCAAGGTTTTGTTTGTTTTCCCCATTTTGAAGGGTGGGAAACCGAGACACAGTTGGGACCTGTCTATACTACAGGTCTGTAGTGCATTTGTAAGCTGCTGACCCCCACATGTTGTTGAGAGCCTATGAACAACACAGCTCCTAAAGTTGTGTTTGTTCTGTGCCTTTCCCCTATGTACCAGCAGGGCTGGATGGCCTTTTCTCACTGTGCTGTGGGGAGCAGGTCCTGGGTACTAAGGGTCTGAAGAAGCTCTGAAGGACTAATTTTTTAAAATAATTTTTATCAATGAATTGGGAGAAAACATACAATCACTGGGTGACAAAATAGTGGCAGAGTGGTAATTACTGATGAGGAGAGGGCAGTGATACAGAGCAATCTGGCTCATTCAGCAAGCTGGGCCCATTCAAAGAAAACAAGTTTGACCAGAGCCAAACGCAAGGTCCTATACCTAGCAACAAGGCATGCCGGCCACACCTACAGAATGGAGTGACTCTGAAAAGGATTTAGGGGCCATCGTGGAGAAACCACTCGACATGAGCTCCCAGTGTGATGCTGTGGTGAATAGGGCAAAAGCCATCATTAGACATATGAGCAGAGCCGTGAGTAGGATAGGGAGGTGACACAGCATCAGTGAGACTGATATTGGAATACTGCATCCAGTTTTGGTGTCCTCATTTGAAAAAGATGTTGAGAAATTGGAGTTGGGGCAGCAAAGAGCCACCAAATGTTCTGAGGACTGGAGAAAAATGCCTTCTAGTGAGCTATTGAAAGAGCTCAACCTGTTTAGCTTATCAAAAGAAGAGTGAAAGGTGACTTCATTGAAATGTTGAAGTGCCTTAATGGAGAGAAAATATTGGGTATTAAAGGGCTCTTAATCTAGAAGAGAAAAGCATAACAAGACCCAATGGCTGGAAGGTGAAAAGAGACAAATTCATATTACAAATAAGGCACAAATATTCAACAGCGAAGATGATTAACCACAGGAACAAGCTACCAAGGGAAGTGGTGGATTCTCCATCTCTTGATGTCATTTAATGCAGACTAGATGCCTTTCTGGAATGTGTTTGCCCAAAAAGTAGCTATTGTGGTATATAGGAGGCCTGTGATATGCAGGGGGTCAGATTAGATGCTCTAATGGTCTCTTCTGGCCATAAAGTCTACTAATTTCTGAAAAACTGAGTGTAGCATTGGGAGCAGCCTCTGATGTTTTACTATCTAGCTGGCTTGCTTCCTAGAATGAACACTCATTGAGTGGGGTGATCCACAGGGAGTTGCTCAAACTTCCAAAGTGTCTGGCCAGCGGCAGGACATTAGCACTGCAGGGGAGGGGTGGGTGTGGCAGTGACATCACAAAGGCCTTTTGCAGGACCTCAGCCTATTGGTCAAAGGTGGTGGGGAGGTGGTGACCTCACAGAGGAATGCTGACATCAGCCAGGCAGGACAGGGGTGCAGGGTCAGGGAAACCTCAGAGACCCCTGTGGCTTTGCTTCAGCAAGTCTCCTTCTCAAGGTCTCTCTTTGAGGACAGAGAGTATTGGGGTTCATGTACTTGAGCGTGAGGAGGAACCTCTTTCAAGTTTTCTCCTTTTCTTTTACTGATTTTACTAGAAAACAGACGTCCTTGTTTAGAAGGTAAGAGCCTCCGAGAGGTTTGGAACCTCTTCAGTCTGATCCATCTAGTGCCAGCTGAACTCTAGGCATGGAAAACACTAGCTTAAGGTAGCAGAATTTTATTCCCCACCTAGGATTTTGTCCCTTAGAATCACTGGGGACATTAGGATTTGTCCTTTTTGTTTTACCTTTTTCTCCATCCCTCCCTCCTTTCTCTTCCTCTCTTACTTATTTTGTCCTTTCCCCTGTTCCCCTCCCACCACCAGGAGGTGTGTGTGTGTGTGTGTGTGTGTGTGTGTGTGTGTGTGTGTGTGTGTGTGTG